CCTAGTTTGGGTCCTAGCCAATGGGCTCCTTTGATAGAGACATGTCCAAGGCGATAAGCTGAGGGTCTGACAGTCCACACTGCAGTTCACCAAGAGTGACCCTCTCACAGGAAGCACAGGGTGCCGAGACTCGGGCCAGAGCAGGAGTTTGGTTTTTTATTTATTTATTTTTTGGTTTTCCGAGACAGGGTTTCTCTTTGTCGCTTTGGAGCCTGTCCTGGATCTCGCTGTGTAGCCCAGGCTGGCCTTGAACTCACAGAGAACCGCCTGCCTCTGCCTCTGCCTCCCGAGTGCTGGGATTAACGCCGTGCAGAGCAGGAACTCTTAACCTCTGCACCTCTGGGGGAAAGTTCTGTAGTGTTCTGGTGCTGGGCCCCAACCTGCAAGAGGCCCCCCCCCCATGCTGGGATTTTCAGATTCCCTGCTCTGCATGGTGGACCTGGCTCAGCAGGAGAGATCAGTAAGGGGCTGGGGCAGTGAGGAGGCCGAGAGAAGGCCCAGAGAGATTCTGATACAGCCTCTGAGAGAAGGTGAGTCAGCTGGGTCCAACGGTGTGCGCCTTCGGTCTTAGCACTGGGGCCAGCCTGGTCTACATAGAGCCAGGACTCTAGAGCAAGACTCTGTCTCAAAACTAAAATGAGAGCGGGAAGGGAGGGAAGAGGATACTTGAGGAGGGGGTGGGGGTTCTGGAAGAGGAGGAGCGGCAGGAAGGAAGGTTTTGAAGACGAAGCGGGAGTTTTGCCGAGTGAGCCAGGCATGATTCTGGCAGAGGGAACTGCAGCAGCAGAGGGTGGGCGTGCGGAGGCAATTGGGAGAAAGAGAATTTCGGGTGAATAGACTCCACAAGCCCAGTGGGGGGCTAGGGAGCTAACTTTCTCCTAGGGAGCCCCTTGTCAGACCTGAGTTACTGGAAGACTTCTGCAGTGGCCAAAGTTACAGGATGTGGGAGGTTCTGCTTTCTCCAACCACTGAGGCCAGCCCTGCCCAGGGGGACTGCTCTCACCTAGGGACAGCAGACAGCAGACCAGCAACCAGAGGGGTGTCATGGTGGCTAAGCTGTGAGAGGAAGGTTCCTTGTCAGCTGCCCGCAAGTCAGTGGGGACAGGAGGGAGGCAGGAGGCGAAAGGTCCAGGGTTGTGTCTTGTTTTGGAGACCCTAGGATTAGGGCCAGGGATGCTGGGATTAGATGAGGACCAGATGCTGGAGAGGGGCCTCAGTTGTAGTTATGTCCAAATGTGCCCACAGGAAGTGCTGACAGAAGAGGCAGATGCCTTGATTCTTAGTATTGAGACAGCAGGGAGGCGGGGAGTGAGAGTGAGTGAGTGAGTGCGTGTGTGAGTACGTGCATGTGTATGTTACATCTTCCAGCACAGTTTAGATACAGTGGTGACTTCTGGACCCAGACAGGAAGTTAACAGGAAGCTGCCACACTGACCTCAGGGACACAGGGGCCATCCCTTTTGCTTTTACTTTGAACTTACAACGTAAAAAAAGCTGGTCTCACACTCACAGCTGTCTTCCTGCCTCTGCTTCCTGGGTGCTGGGTTATACGCAGGTACCACCATGCCTGGGTTCTTTCTTGTTGCTTTTTTCTTTCTTTCTTTTATTCAGAGTATCATGTAACCCATGCTGGCCTCAAATCATTTGTAACTGAATCCCCATATCATCAAAAATGATTTTGAATTTCTGATCCTCCTGCCTTCAATTCCTGAGTTCTGGGAGCACAACTGTGTGCCACCATGCACAGTTTATGGATTCCAGGGGATTAGACCCAGGGCTTTGTGCATGTTGTACAAGCAGACTATCGAAAGGGTGAAAGAGCTATATCCCAGCCCTCTTTCCTCCTTTCTTCTTCCTTCCTTTCTCTTTCTTCCTTCCTTTCTTTTGTTCTTTTTCTTCCTCTTCTTTTTTGAGACAGAGTGTGGAAGTTTGAGTGTTATTGGCCCCCATAATCTCAGTGAGTGGCACTCTTAGGAGGTGTGGCTTTGCAGGAGTAGGTGTGGCCTTGTTGGAGGAAGTGTGTCACTGTGGAGGTGGGCTTTGAGGTTTCCTATGCTCAGGATACCGCCTAGAGTCTCAGTCAACTTCCTGTTGCCTGTAAGATGCAGCACTCTCAGCTCCAGCACCATGTCTGCCTGCATGCTGCTTTGCTTCCTGCCATGATGATAATGGACCAAACCGCTGAACTGTAAGCGAACCACCCCAATTAAATGTTTCCTTTATAGGAGTTGCCATGGTCATGGTATCTCTTCACAGGAATAAAAATCCTAACTAACACACAGGGTTTCTCTGTGTAGCCCTGGCTGTCCTGGAACTTGCTCTATAGACAAGGCTGGCCTTGAACTCAAGAGATCCCCCTGCTTCTGCCTCCCAAGTGCTGGGATTAAAAGCATGCACCACCATGCCTGGATGGCTTTTTGTTGTTATGTTTTGAAACAGCATCTCTCTACATAGCCCTGGCTGTCCTGGAACTCACCATGTAGACCAGGCTAATGTCGAACCCACAGAGATTCACTTGCCTCTGCTTCCTTTTTTTTTTTTTTTTTTTTGAGACAGGGTTTCTCTGTGTAGCTTTGGAGCCTGTCCTGGATCTTACTCTGTAGTCCAGGCTGGCCTCAAACTCACAGAGATCCGCCTGCCTCTGCCTCCCGAGTGCTGGGATTAAAGGCATGCGCCACCACCACCCAGCTTTTTTTCTCATTTCTTATGACAAGGTACCATGCAGCTCAGGCTAGTCTTGAACTTGCTATCAGCTGGGCAGTGGTGGTGCATGCCTTTAATCCCAGCACTCAGGAGGCAGAGCTAGGTGGATCACTGTGAGTTCGAGGCCAGCCTGGGCTACAGAGATCCAGGAAAGGCGCGAAGCTACACAGAGAAACCCTGTCTTGAAAGAAAAAAAAAGGGAAAAAAACAACCACCACCACCACCAACAACAACAAAAAGAACTTGCTATCATCCTGTGGCCTCAGCCTTTTCAGGGCTGGGCTTACAAGTATGAATGACTGGCATTTTTGGTTTTTAAGATTTAATTGTTTATATATGTCTGTGTGTGGGTATGTGCACATGAGTGCAGGTGCCCAAGGAGGTCAGATCCTCTGGAGCTAAAGTTCAGCTGGCTAATAGTCACCTGGCATGGGTGCTGGGAACTGATCTCAGATCCTCTTGAAGAACAGTACACACTTTCAAGCTAGCTCTAATGCCCTATGACAGGCCTTCTTATTTTCTTTTTTCATCCTGATCTCTTTGGGGTTGAATGCCTGGGCTCAAGGCTGAGTCAACAGGTGCAGACAGCACCCCCAAGGGTGGTTAAAACAGTCTCATACAGCTAGCCCATGCTCAGAGCCCATCAGTGGAAGATTCTAGGGGAGCTCTACTGATGAGCCATGTCTCCAGCTCCTTCTGTTCACCCACTCTCCTGACCCTCATTAACTAGTCCAGGTAGATGTTCTCTGAAGGGTCCAGGTGGGCATTTCCTTCCCCCACCATCTCAGGCGTCTTGGGGCCTTATGAGTCTCTAATTGAGAGAGACATTTTGCTTCCGTGAGGTAACTGTTGACTCACCTGTAGGACCCCCACTCTGAGTACCTCCTCAATCAGAAGCAGGCAGATCTCTGTGAGTTCGAGGCCAGCCTGGGCTACAGAGCAAGTTCCAGGACAGCTAGGGCTACACAGAGAAACCCTGTCTCAAAAAACAAAACAAAACAAACAAACAAAAACTCTTGAAGGTAAAACCAAGCAGGTCTTGGGTCCTCCCTTTGGAAGGAACCCTGCCCAGAAAGAGGTGAATCAGATGCATGAGTGCCCGGTCACGGTTGGTGGGCAGAAGAATGCAGTTTAACTGACTCGAAGCTGGCCTGTGGTACACCTGCCGCACACCCTAGTTTCCACAACAAATATGTTGCAATGGAAAAAAAGAAACTAGTGGAACCAAGAACCAGAAGGACTCCGAGACGGTGAGGGGAGCGTCTCGACTCAGTGGCAGGAGCATGTCCCAAGCTTGTGGCAACGATCCTCCATGACCCCAAAACACAGCAGATAAGTAAATAAACCAGTCTTAAGGACACTGCCTTGCATTGATGCAATGGTCTTTTTTTTTTTTTTTTAGGCAAGGCTGGCGTTCTCTCTCTCTCTCTCTCTCTCTCTCTCTCTCTCTCTCTCTCTCTCTCTCTCTCGTCCTGGCTGACCTGGATCTCACACAGATCCACCTGCCTCTGCCTTCTGAGTGTTGGGATTAAAGGTACAACCACTATTCCCAGCTCTCAAATTTTTTAAACAAGACTATATATGACTGGGCTTGGTGGCATGAACTTGTCTTTTAGAGACTGGGGCACTGAGGTAGTAGGGCAGCAAATTCAATATATGTGATAGGATCTGTACTGACATGGGTGCGGTCCGACCCCCTCCATGGTATCAACACTCCCAGAGTCCACTAAACAGCATGTGTGTGATTGGCACACATCTGGGCAGCTCCAGGACGAGTGTGCTTCCCCGCTTTGCAAACTAAGTCACCCCATGGCTTTATGTGGCTTAAGTACTCACTTCTGATATTTTAATTCCATGTGGCCCTTGGGACAGAATCAAGGGCCTTGTTATGATGGGCAGGAGCTCTACCTCTGAGCCACACAGCCCACAGCCCATCACGGCCTTAAAGTGATTGTGTTACCATGCCCATAAAGTCCTTAGAGATCCTTCTTGAGGGGCTGGAGTGGGGGCTCAGTGGTTGGGAGTGCTGGCTGCCCTTCCAGAAGACCCGGGTTCGAGTCTCAGCACCCATCGGCAGCTCACAACTGTCTATATAACTCCTGTTCCAGGAGATCTGACACCATCACACAGATATACATGCAGGCAGAATACCTATGTACACAAGATACAAATAAATAAATAATTAAAAAAAAAAAAAAGAAATCCTTCTTGGGAAGGCGGTTATTTCCCTGCCTTTCACAAACGCATCTGATCGTACAACTCATCCGAATCTCACCTCTTCATCGAAAACAACAGAATAGTAATAAACATAAACATTTATTAAACACTTATCTATGTCTCTCTCCTAAGCAATTTAAACACAACTCATCAGCGCTCTTTATCAGTCCTATGAGGTAGAAAGCCTGACCATCCCCGTAGTTGAGACATAAGGCCCAGAGAGGTCAAGACATTTACCTGAGGTCACACAGGAAGGAAAGGGTAAAATTGGCAGAGTCCTACGTATGTGACAAATGGCCCTCCTGTATTGTATGCAAATGTATGTGCAGGTGTGTGTGCATATGTGTTTGTGCAGAGGTCAGAGGACAACTTTGGGTACTCTCTCTGAGGCACTGTTCCACCATTTTGTTTGGAGGCAGGGACTCTCATTGGCCTGAGTTTCACTGAATGGACTAGGCTGCTGGCCAGCGAGCTCCAGGGAGCTGTCTGTCTCCACCTCCCAGTGCTGGGACAAGCACGTCCCACCCACGCAGCTAACGTGGGTTCTGGGACTTGAACTCACATCCTCAAGGCAAGCATATTTGTAAGCACTCACGGACTGAGCAATCGCCCCAGCCTCCAACAAGCAGTGATCGAGTGCCTTCTGTATACCAGGAACTGATCTAGCTGGTGGCTTAAGTTGCGAGGGAAGGAACCCAGGTCTCCCTGCTGCTAAGCACGGGCTGGTGGTTGAGGGCTGATCAGAAGTGCTGCAGCTTCTCCTACAGTCTCGCTCTATCTGCACACCGGCCATGCCACCTTGCTGAAGATGGACCCCAAATCCCCCGGGGCCTCCAGCAAAGCAAACAGGTTCTTCCCAGCTGAAGACGATGGGTCTCCACTGTGAAAAGATGGACGGACCCAAAATGAAAGACTCAAGGATCCACTTGGCCCTTCTGCACGTCCAGGGTCTGCTCAGGTCACAGCCAGGCTCACAGTCAAGGAAAGAAAGTTGTTAGTTCGCAGACAGGGGTTTCCGGGCAAGAGTAAGGTGCAGGGCATGTGGAGGCTTCTCCGTGGGGGCCTTCCCCTGACGCCCCTGAACATCAGCACACGCTGAACACTGAGGGCACCTGGCCTTGGTACTTCTCCTGGGCTGTCTTGAGGATGGGCACAAGATTCTGGAAGGTGGGCCGGAAGGAGGCCTCTGCCTCCCAGCAGTTCTTCATGAGGAGATAGATCTGGGGGTTGAGGGAGAACGGGGCTGTGAGACCATTCACCCTGTGTCATGAGGGTGGGAGGGTGAATCGCTGTAGATGCACTCACCTCACAGGGACACCTGTCAGGCCGAGGCAGCCTCTCTCCACGTTCCAGCAACTCTGTGAGCCTCAGCACAGTCATCTGGCCCTGGGTGACGCCGATGAGCTCGATGAATTTCTAAGGCAAAATTGACAGCATCTATTTGCACAAGTCGCGAACCCATGCTTCTCAGTTGTGTGTGTGCGCGTGCGTGCATGTGTGTGTGTGTGCATGTGTGTAGGGTGAGGGGAGGCCAGAGGACGACGAAGGTGTCCCGTTCTGTCCCTCTCTGTCTTAGTCCTTTGAGACAGAGTCTTCCACTGAATCTGAAGACAGTCTGGTGGCCAGCAAGCCAGAGAACTCTGTGTCTACCTCTCACAGTTCTGGGGTCATATGTTGCATACTCATACAGCCAGGCCCAGATCCCCATTCATGTGGGAGCATTCATGTCTGCATGTGTGTGGGCACATGTGTGTAGGGTATGTGCCCTAGCACATACATTAATATGAGACAGGAGGTTGACGTCAGGAATCATTATGATAGAGCTCATCTTCCACCTTATCCACTGAGGCAGGGTCTCTCAATCAAACCCAGAGCTCCCTGATATGACTAGTCTGGTTAGGCAGTGTGCTCTAGGGATCCCATCTCTGCCTTCCCAGGCTGGATTTAAAGCAAGGCCACCACGCCCACCTGACATTCAAGTGAGTTCTGGGTTCTGTCCTCACGCTTGCAAGGCAAGTGCTTAACTGCTGAGCCTTGTCCCCAGCTCCCACACTCTTTCAAGACAGGGTCTTAGGTGTCCCAGGCTAGCCTTGAACTCCTGATCTTCCTACCTCCACCTCCAGTGCTGGGATGACAGGCAAGCCCCACCATGCCCATTTTATGCTGGCCAAGGGGAACCCAGGGCTTCAAACATGCATGCCAGGCCAGTGTTCTACCAACTGAGTCACAGATCCAGCCCCCTTAAAATCTATTTCTTTTTTCTTTTTCTTTCTTTCTTTTTTTTTTTTGGTTTTTTGAGACAGGGTTTCTCTGTGTAGCTTTGCGCCTTTCCTGGATCTCGCTCTGTAGACCAGGCTGGCCTCAAATTCACAGAGATCCGCCTGCCTCTGCCTCCCGAGTGCTGGGATTAAAGGCGTGCGCCACCACCACCCGGCTTAAAATCTATTTCTTGAGACAATGATCTTGCTATGTTGTACAGGCTCCTCTTTACCGCTTAGGCTCAAGGGATCCTTCTGCCCTGCTCTGGGTAGCTGAGGAGAAATGCTATCTTTGGGGCTAATCTAATATTCTCCTGGTTTCTCCCCCTAGTTCATGGCTAACCAATCACTGTGGTCCACAACTCTTCAGTGATTTGATCAGACAGATAAACTAGTTGGGCCCATCAGAAAAAGTCACAGGGGCTGGAGAGGTGGTTCAGAGGTTAAGAGCACTTGGATGTTCTTCCAGAGGTTCCGAGTTCAATCCCCAGCAACCACATGGTGGCTCACGACCATCTGTAACGAGAACTGGTGCCCTCTTCTGGCATGTAGACAGAACACTGTATGTGTAATAAATAAATAAATCTTAAAAAGAAAAGAAAAAGGTCACAGAAATTTAGAGCAGGAAGAGAAGATCCCTTGGCCTCTGTGGCTGAGGAGTGTCAGGTGACAGCAGAACAAGGGTCACTGTGTGCAGAGCAGACAGCCTGAGACACCACCACAGTGACCGCGGGATGGAGCTGGAGCCACTCCTGACAATACCTGAGGCCTCACTCGCGTGGGGTCTGCAAATAGCACAACAAACACCAGGATTTTGCCTGTGTGCATTTTGAGTATTTCCGTTTAAAACTCCCCTGCAGGGGGAGATGGCTCAGTGGTTGAGAGCATTTGTTGCTCTTGCAGAGAACCGGGTTTAATTCCCAGCACCCACACGGCCGCTCACAACAGGCTGGAACTGAAGTTCCAGATCTGACGCCCTCTTCTGGCCTCCCCGGCACCGCACAGATATACAAGTGTGCAAAACACCCCCACACAGACAACAAAAACGACCAGTTCCGCAGCGCCAGCAGAGGCTGGGGTAAGAAGGCTGTGAGCTCTTGGGCAGCCTGAGTTCCGAAAGGAGCCCCTATCTAAAAACAATGGGCTGAGAAGACAGCTGGGGCAAAGGTGCTTCCCACCAAGCCTGGTGCCCTGAGTTCCCCGTGACACGAGCTCTCCTCTGACTGCCACACGTGCCTCAGCACAAATGCTCCTCCCCAGTAAGGAAACATAATGTCATTTTAAGAAACATTAAAACAGGGGCTAGCTATATTGCTGCTCCGACTGAGGAGCTTGCTGCCAAGTCTGTCCACCTGAGCTCAATCCTGAGGGCCACACAGTGGGAGAATAAACCCTGCAGGTTTTTCTCTGACTTCTGTCAGGGCCAGAAGAAACTCAGGACCAAGGGCTAACTGTGGTGCCTATTAGCACACCAAAGTGCACGCTGGCTCCCAGGCTGGGGGTGCTGGTGTACCTGTCACACAGTCCACACTGGTATCTCGGCGCTTCTCACCCGCCCTACGCCTCCCTTCCCCGGCCTCTCATTCCTGTATAACCCTGGCATTTCGGCCATGTGCTCTCTTGGCTCTCTCTCCTCTTTGCCCCCAACCCCCATGGCCCAGTTCAGTCTACTGGCCATGTTTAGTTCACTGCCTTCTCTCCCTGCTCTGGACTCTTCCAGATGCCTCTGGCTTGCCCTCCTGCAGACAATAAAAACCTTCCCCTCGGGCTGGAGAGATGGCTCAGAGGTTAAGAGCACTGACTGTTCTTCCAGAGGTCCTGAGTTCAATTCCCAGCAACCACATGTTGGCTCACAACCATCTGTAATGAGATCTGGTGCCCTCTTCTGGCCTGCAGGGATACACGCAGACAGAGCACTGTATACATAATTAATAAATAAAATTGTTAAAAAAAAAAAACCTTCCCCTCAACCACACCCTAGAGTGGTCATGTCCTCACTTTATCCATTTGGTACTGAAAACTCCATTTACACAACCTCCACGTGTGTGCTGTGGCATGTGGGTGCACACCACAACACACAATAAATAGGTGAAAAGAACCACTCAAACAAACTCCCCGGAAACAAAACACTTCCCACACTGCTGGGCAACACTTGCCGATCAGGCAAGACTGGGCTAAACAGGCTAGTGAAGAGCCTGCCAGTGTCGAAGGGCTGGACTTTAAATGCCTGCTTTTCTAGAAAAGCCCCCTAGCAAACACAGGGCACAGTGGGGTAACTGTCGCTCACCGTGGGTGGGCTCTGACTAGAGTCACAGTACGTCAACAGCTCATACAGGGTCACCCCGAAGGACCAGACATCTGATGCATAGTAAAATTTGCATTCCTTCAGGCATTCTGGGGCATACCTGGAGAGAGAAGAGGCTCAGCACAGGCTGGCTGGACTTCAGTTCACATCCAGTCAAAGGACCCCTGAGATTCCAGTTGGGACCTAACCCTTCAGGGCACAGCCCGAGGGGCTTCAGACCTACTAAGCCAAGCCAAACTGGACTACAGGGCTTTAGTCCCGCCCCTTCCGCCCCTAGGCCCCGCCCAGCTTCCCTCTGCACCCCAGGGTCTCCTCCACTCCTGATCACCAGAACACCGGGCTGTCCCCGTCCTCGCGCACGCGGTAGTACTCGTGGCCTTCAGGCACTGCCTTGGCTAGGCCAAAGTCTCCAATCTTGACCAGCCTGTCGTTGTCCAGAAACACGTTGCGCGCGGCTAGGTCTCGGTGAATGTAGCGCTGCCCGTGTAGGTAGGCCATGCCCTGGGGTGGGGCAGGGCGAGTCAGGCTCAGCCCCGGCCTGAGCAAGCAAAAGAAGGAGCCAGAGCAAGGCTTGCGGCCGTGCCAGCAAAGCTAGATAGGAGGGTGTTTGGAGCGACGGGGTCAAGCACAGGTGGGTGGGTCTAGGAACGTGCAAACCTCTCCAAGATGAGGAGTGGGGCTTTCGGGACAAGCTAGGCTGGCGCGCCAGAGAAGGGGCGGGGCTCGGGGGGCGGGGCCAACAGAGCTGGACGGGTCTAGGAATACTCAAACCTCCAAACCTCTACAGGGTTTGGGATGGGGCTTGCAGCTACTAGGCCAGGCAAGGGAGGCTGAATAGGGGGCGGGTCAGCTGGGGGGCGGTGGTGGGAGGAGTCAAGAAAAGATGGGTGGGTCTAGTCATAAGGAAACGAGGGATCAGGGGTGAGGCTTATGGGGGTGTGGCCAGGTGACCGGGACACAACAAAGTGAAAGGAGTCCAGTCCAAGGACAAGAGCATGGACGGGGATAGACCCCTTCAGGACCAGCAGAAGCAGAGCGGGTCCTCTCTGGAAGGAGGGGCGGGGTCATCCCACCTCGCAGATCTGCTGGGCGAACATCAGGAGCTGTGCCAGCCCAACGCTGTGCCGCGGCAGGTAATCCCGGAGGCTGCCCAGGGGGACGTATTCCATGACCAGCTGTACAGACTTCTCTCCTGTCAGAAAGAGACCACAGGGGATGGACGCTGAAGGAGGGTTGGAGTCCCTGTATCCTGGAGCTCTGAGCACTACACAGATCGCTCTCACGGTGGGGAGACAAGACCAAGACCCGTGTACACTAGGTCAGGTCCATGGACGAGATGGACCCATGTAGAACCGTTCCTGTGCTAGGAAGGTGGGGGGGGGGCTCCAGTTCATCCGGGCCCCAGTAGGCAACACCCCCAACTGAGAAGGCTGCCCAGCCACACCCCCACCGAGGCTGAATAATTCTAATTGGTCAGGATGGTTAGGCCCCGCACCCACACACCAGGCCTGGCACACCTTGGTCCTCACAGCAGCCTTTGTACTTGACAATGTGTTCATGGTACAGGGTCCGGAGGATTTCGATCTCCCGCTGCCAGCCTGAGCGGAGCTGGGGACCACATCCCTCCTTTAGGGCCTTCACAGCCACCATTTCGCCGGTGCCATCATTGGTTGGATCATAGCAGTACAGGCTGACCTTGCCAAAGTGGCCCTGGCAGAAGTGGGCAGGAGGGTCAGACCAGGCTGTAGAGCCTGCTGGGCCCTATTACCTCCCTTCTTCCAAAGCTGAAGACACTCCCATTTCTCAATACTATACTTTTTTTTTTCTTTTCCTTTTCTTTTCTTTTTTTTTTTTTTTTTTTTTTTTTTGAGAGAATTACACTATGAAGCACAGGCTGGCTTGGAACTTGATATACAGACCAGGCTGGCCTCAAACTCAGAGATCCACCTGCCTCTGCCTCCTGAGTGTTAGTATTAAAGGTGTGCCTATTATGACTGGTCCTCAGAACTATTCTTAAGACTTCTTTCAGACACATCCCAGCCCTCCAGGCTCCATCCCAAATCTCCAACCCCACCCCGCACCCCACTCCCCACCCCCTCCCCACCTGCTCTCCCTCCAGATCTCCAAACCCCACCCCAGCCATTCACTCCCACCCCAGCTCTCCAGCCCAGCCCTCACCTCGCCCAAATCCCGGATCTTTTTCAAATAACGCTTGTGGAAAACAGTGGGGTCTGATGCTGGTGAGTCTGAGTTCACAGCCGAGATGCCCACTAGATCTGGAAGAGCCAAGGCCTTCAGTCAGACCTGGGTCTTTCTCCAAACAGTATCCCATGACTGGTTCCTGCTCCCCAGCATCCCGCCCACCTGGACACCCTTAGGTGAGTCAGAAACTACCATGCACCGTGCCCCGGTGCAGGGACTTCGGTTGTACGGTGCCTGCACTGGTAGGGACCCCAGCTGCGCCCCAAACCCCAGGGCCCCGGCTCACTCTGTGGCTGCAGCCTAGTGAGGTCCCGCAAAATGGTGCGGAATGATGGCCGCTGGGCTGGTTCGTAGGTCAGGCACTGGCGGGTGAGTGTGGCAAGCTCCGGGCATGAGGGCTCGGGCAGCTGGTGCTGCTTTGTGTAGAATCGTTCTTTCTGTGGGGGCGATGACCCCAGAGAGTGAGCACCCTACTCTACCCACATCTTCCCCCAAAGACCCAGTCAAGCAGCATGGCTGGGTCAGACCAGTACCTGGTCTTTTTATGCCCATTTTACAGAGAAGGTAGCTGAAGCCTGGTAAACACTACGGAGTCAGGAATTAGAACCAAGTCCAGCTGGCTCTGCAAAGTCAGTGCAGGTCTACCAAGTCATCCCCAGCACCCTGGCTTCCTTCTACCGGCCTTTCCTCCCTGCCCTCAGCTCAGCTCCCTTAATGCCCCCGGACCTTTGCAAAAGCTGTGTTTGGAATCAAGGCTGCTCTTCCTGGCTGGGCTCATGAGCAAAATTATGCACTTAATGAAACGTTCTTTAGGAAACCTTTTGAGTCACTTAGATGGACCAGGGAACCCTTCAGAGTCCATAAAAATCCTTAAGACATACCTCAGAGGGGCAACGACCCTGCAGGGGTGCCTCCCCATCAAAGCAGATCTCAAGGAGGGTGGCACCAAAGCCCCACATGTCCGTGGCAGTACCCAAGCTACTGGCCTCTCCAGACAGGCACTCAGGAGCTGTCCATGGGATGCGCTCCACCCGCTCTGGAGAGCACGGGTCACAGGTCAGCAAGAGTGGAAAGGGCAGGGGAAGGCCATCCCTGTGCCCAGACCTACCCCAGAACTCACCCTCCCTGGAGAGGGCACCTTGGCCCACACCAGGATCACTTAGCTTGATGAAGGGGCTAGTGCCCTCCTCCAGCCCCAGCCGGGCCAGCAGGACGTTCCGGCCACATACGTTCCCATGAACCAGATTCTTGTCCTCCTGGGTGGCAGAGGAAGAGAAAGTGCATGACTGGGGGGGGGGGGGGGTCAGATTCCACGCACCACCCCATCCCATAAGGCTCCTCCTGACAAGGATGGTCGTGTGAAAATGACACTGTCAAACTATTGGGATAGCAATGCTACGTCATCAGTACCAGGCAACATTGGGTGCTGAGTGGGTAGCCAAGGCTCTTGGTCAGGAACAAAAATCTAGAAAGACCCCACTGTAGTCCCAAATGCCCCTGCCTCAGGGACTTTCTCAGGCTGTTCTTACACACACACACACACACACACACACACACACACACACACACACACACACACACGCACACACCTCCAAAAATTTACAACTTAGCAGAGGATGGCCCTGACTCCAGATCCTCCTGCCTCCACCTCCCCAGTACTGAGATTGCAAGCATATATCACACCCTGTTTATACGGAGCTAGGCCTGGAATCCAGGGCTTTGTCCATGTTAGGCAAGTGCTCTACCAACTGAGCTATAGCCCTAGCCCCTTTTTCAATGCTTGTGACAGGGTGTTGTGTAGCCCAGGCTAGCCTCAAACTCACTATACAGCTGAGAATAGCTGAATTCCAGATCCTCCTGCCACAGCTCCTGAGTGCTATGATGACAGGTATGTGTCACCATGCCTGGCTTCGCTGTACCCCATTTTCTATGGGAAACTTGATACCCACAGATAGGGAATCTTGACTGATCCTTCAAGGTACCAAGGAATGATTATTCAAATGCGAGAGCAGACCTTCTGGAAACAGTGTGATCGGAACAGCAGTGGCTGAGGTGTATCAGAGGCCAAGCATGTAGACAGTGCTCGAGGAAATCACAGTTCAGAACTGCAGCTCAGTGTGGCCTCCCACACTGATGCCCACACCGCACTACTACCCAGTCACTGACACTGTACCCCTCAGGTCCACGTACCAGGTAGCTGAGGGCACTGGCCAGCTGCTGAGCCACAACCATCTTCCAGGTCATGGGCACTCGGCCCCTCCGACGCCGTAACCACACATCCAGGGGACCATGTTCTACAAACTCTGTCACAATGATATCTGCAAAGATATCGCTGCTAGAGAGGCAGCCACCTGCCTCTGCCTCGGGGTCCAGGACAGATGGTGGGGCTGAGCGGGGTTTGGATCGGGGTACTTTAAGAACAGAGAGGAGAGCAGGGGCAGGGATGGAATGGGGGATCTAGGCACAGAGCAAGTATTCCAAGCAGAGGCCAAGATGGAGTGCAGGAAGTGGAGAGGAGGTGGGAGGGGCATGGGCTGAGATGTGCCGTGGGCCAAGCACAGGCTGGGAAGCAGAATTGGGCGCACGGGGAACAGTACAGGGTCACACCAGGGGAGCCTGTACAAGAAGCCTGGAGGGACAGGCAGGGAGGGGGCAGAGGTGTCTAATCAGGGTGGGTACACGGGTGACTGGGATCATGACAGGGTTGGGATCTGCCTGGGGCCACTGTGCTGAAGGGCTTAGAGTATGCATGAAGGATGCAAAAGGAATTATGGGAAGAATCAGACAGGGCCAGCCATCAGGGTCTGGGTCAAGGAGACAGGGCAGAGCTGGTGTAGCGAGGGGTTGGGGAGGGTCAAAGTGCAGTGAGTGTTCGGAGGCTGTGGTGAGGGGTGGGCACATCCTGCAGATCAGGTCTTGTCTGATCTCAGGACTACAGGAGAGATTGATGGTCAAATGAGTGTGGCTCAGAGGCAGAGCCCCTGCCTGGAATCCCCCAGTGAGAACCTGGAGGTACGACTCAACGATAGAGCCCCTGCCTGGGATACCATAGTGAGGAGCTGGGGGCATCGGCATCGCTCAGGGGTAGAGTGTTAGCCCCACAAGCTGACAGCCTGGGCTCCTTCCCCAGTACTACTAAAAAAAGGGGGGTGGTGACGAGTCAGGATACAGGCCAGGGAGAGGGTATAGAGGGTGGAATGCAAACCCAGTCGGGTGTTGGGGTGAACTCACTCTCTGAGCCACGGACACAGACACCATGCAGGAAAGCCAGGTGCATGTGTGACACCTGGCTCATGAGGCTAGCTGTTTCGTAGAAGGCCTGTGGGGACAGGGCAGGTCAAGCTCCTGCAAACCCACTCTGTCCCTCCCAGTCCTGCTCTCCAGACACCCCAGGGCCAGCCTTGCTCACTTACCAAGGCAATGTTATGGTGACTGGGATCCAGGACTTTAAGCACCACTCGAAGCTGCTGTCCACTGCCCCCACCAGGCTCAGGGGGACAGTCATTGTCCACTTTGCCTTCGTCAGGGCCTCCCACTCTTAGAAGGCCCTCGTAAACATTGGTCCTTGTGCCTTGACCCAAGTGGGACAGCTGTAAGAAGTGGTGCTGAATGCAGCAGTGCTGGCAGCCATGTGATACCACGCCCCCCAGGGCCACGCCCCCAGGACCATGCCCCCAGGACCACACAGGTGACGCCACGCCCCCCAGGGCCACATGCCTTGCCCAGAATACCCACCTGAGTGATTTCATCCTGGTGAACCCTGTGGAAGCTGAGCTGGCTCAGGTTAAGAGGCTGGGTGTGGGCACTAGACCCCCGCATGATCACGAGGTTGGAGATTTCTAGGCACAGGAGTAGACACTGCCCTCGTGGGCTGGCTTCAGAGCACAGTGTCATCCCTACCCAGTGCCTCACACTATCCTACTCACCTCCTGGCCGGGGCAGACAGCAGTGGTGCAAGGGGAAACAGTCCTCGCCGGCCCGAAGCGAGCAGCCCTGCAAGGCGAGCCGCAGGTCCCCCACACTGTCGAAGGACCGACCCCAGCCATCCAGCACAAAGGCTCCAGGTTGCTGGGTGATGGGGAACTTTCGGAGGCGCAGGCCCTTCGGGCCACTGCCGGGAGCCTGGGGAGGTGGAAGGAGACGTAAGCGGGGGTCAGGCAGGGCTCAGATCCAGCCTATGAAGGGCGCATCTCCCCACCACCCCTGTACCCCGGCTCCAGACCCACCGGGTTTCGATGGGCCACAGTGAGGATCAGGCGGTGAAGGTGGCTGGTACTCCACTGAATCAGGTAGAGGCCATCCTCTGGCCACAGCTTGGCCTGCACAAATGGATCCCTGGGAGAGGAAGAGAGCAGGGGAACACCATCAGCCTCTTGCAGTCACTGTGAGATCCACGCCAATGAGCACAGGAGACCTGCCCAGAGATACACACACCAGCAACTCCAGCTCTCAGGAGGCTGAGGTCACAGGATCACTGAAAGTTCAGGTCCAGCCTGGGCTACAAAGTATGACCATGTCTCAAGAGAAAGTGGAGGGAATGGGGGACCTTAGAAAATGAGGATCAGATCTCTAGCACCCATGTGGGAATCTGGGAGTGGTAGCATGCACTTGTAATCCCAGCCAGGGCTACAGCTCAGCTAGTCCAGCCAATCAGTGAACTCCAGTTCCAGTGAGAGACCCTCATCAAAAAATAAGGTGGAGGGGCTATAGAGATGGCTTGGTGGCGGCAAACAGTGCCTGCTGGTCCTGTAGAGGACCAGAGGCTGATTCTTAGCACCCTACCTCACACCACCTGTAACTCCAGCTCCAGGGTGTCCCATGCCTCATCTGGCCTCCGTGGGCACCCACATACATGTGTCGTATACTCACATAGATACACATATATACATATGAAAAATAAAAAGAAATCAATGGAGAGCGACTGAGGAAGACACCTAAGGCCAACCTCTGGCTCCCTGAATGCCCACACATACATATAAAACCTTCAGAGAAAGCCGGGTGGTGGTGGCACATGTCTCTAATCCCAGCACTCATGAGGCAGAGCCAGGTGGATCTCTGTGAGTTCGAGGCTAGCCTGGTCTACAGAGCGAGTTCCAGGACAGGCTCCAAAGCTACACAGAGAAGAAACCCTGTCTCAAAAAACCAAAACAAAAGACAAAAAAACCTTCAGAGAGCCTGTGAGATGGCCAAAGGCACTTGCTACAAGCCTGGTGACCCACATGGCAGGAGAACTGACTCCTGCAGGTTGCCCTCTGACCCCCGACATACACTATGGCATGTCCTTCCCCAAATAAATAAATGTGTAAAAAATCTCAGAACTACCAACAGTAAGTCCACACATACATGTACACATACATGTGATCACTGACATAGAGAGATACATGTAAGAACAGTCACATGTGCCTAACATCATATGTAGCCACTGACAAAGTGACAGATGCTGAGACAGGAAAACAGCGGTCTGATGTCACACGGGCCACACCCAGACACAGCCACAAGGGACAGGGTTACTTCCAGTACAGAGATAGTCACATGCCCCCAAAACACAGATCATGGATGCAGTTCATCACCCTGAGTCACAGGGCCATGTGAGGACACTATTTCCATGTGCTCTGTCCCCTCTGAGGCTCATGTCGGGTCCTGTACCCAATGATGGGCTGGAGAGATGGCTCAGAGGTTAGGAGTGCTTGCTGCTCTTCCAGAGGACCCAGGTTTGATTCCCAGCACCCAGAAGGGGCTCACAACTGTTCTGTGACTCCCAGTCACTGTGAGCACCGGATATGCATATGGTGCAAACATGTATGCAGGCAAAAAACCAAACCAAACTAACAGAAAACATACACATAAAATTAAACTACAAAAAAAAAAAACTCTAAAAAAAGAAAAAAGGTAGATACAAACCAGGTGTGGCAACATATGCCTCTAGTCCCAGCCCTGGGAGGTGGAGGCAGGAAGCCAGGGAGTTCAAGGTCATCCTCAGCTACATAGAATTCAAGCCTAGTCTGGGCTAAATCAAACACTGTCTCAAAAAACAAAACAAGGGGCCAGTGAGATGACTCGGGGTACAGAAGCTAACTGTCCAGTCTGACGACCTGAATTTGATCCCCAGCACCAAGATGGTAGGAGAGAATGGACTCCTGTAAACTGTCCCGTGACCACTACTCATGTGCTGGCTGTCCTGGTGCACACCACCACATCCGGTTCAAGCAATGCTGGGGACTGAACCGAGGGCTTCATACACTAGCAAATGCTCAGCTTCCTGCAGCTGAGCTATAGCCACAGACTAGACTTTTTTTTACTGTATCTGTGCGTGCTTGCGTGAGTATGGTTGTGCATGCCACTGTACGCATGTCAGAGGACAACCTCGGCCATCAGTCCTCACCTTCTGCCCTGTCAGAGGCAGGGACCTGTTGCCGGCCACCATATATGCTGGGCACCACGAGCCTTCAGAGATTCCATCTCTACCTACTGTGGCACTGTGGGAGTGCTGGGACTCCACACACAAGCTACTGAGCCATGTGCCTTCTAGGGGTCCAACTCAGATCCTCACAGTAGAAGGCAGGCACTTTATCCACTGAGTCATTTCCCCAGTCCCTGAGACATTCGTACAATTTAATTTTGAAGGCTGGAGAGATGGCTCAGACCATCTCAGGTAAAGGGGCTCACTGCTCTTCTGGAGGATTCAAGTTCGATCCCAGTACCCACACTGAGTGGCTCACGACCATCTGTAATATCAGCTCCAGGAGGATCCGACACCCCTGGCCTCTTTGGGCACCTGCACTCAAGTATGCAGACATACTCACACACATAATTTAAAATAATAAAAAATAAATCTTTAAAATTTAATTTTGAGCCGGGCGGTGGAGGCGCACGCCTTTAATCCCAGCACTTGGGAGGCAGAGCCAGGCGGATCTCTGAGTTCGAGGCCAGCCTGGGCTACAGAGTGAGATCCAGGACAGCCAGAGCTACACAGAGAAACCCTGTCTTGAAAACCAAACAAACAAAGTTGAATTTTGAGATAGGGTCTCACTATGTCCCCAGCTGACCTGCTTGGATTGAGTTGTACACCACCAGAGCTAACCTCTTTTCTAAGTATCCAGACTAAGGTATTTTATTAATGAAACACGGACTGGTATGAGGGCCTTGATATCCCAGAGGTGGCAGCAGCAACCACAAAAATGGAGACCGAAAGGAGTCACACAGAGGCCAGTGAGACACAAACACGGTGGCACACTGATGTGGCCCACAGCTAATGGTGTGACAGCAGGTGCACGGACACACACAAGGCAGAACGCACGAACTCAGCTCCGGCAGCGCCAGCCCCTGCCACCCTTGGTCACCATCACTCACATCAGGGGCCCGTGGATGCCGTTCTGGATGCTAGTCAAGAGCCTGGGGGGTGCCACCTCATGGCACAGGTAGTGGCTGGAGTCAGCGGTCAAGCGGAAATAACCATCCACCAGGGCCACAAAGGACAGGGCCTCAGCCCGGGAGCGGAGGCACAGCAACTGTGGGCCAGGGGACATGGTCAGGGAGCCCGGCAGGACAGACCCCTGCCTCCTCCGCCAGCCTGGTGCCCAGGGATCCCACCAAGCACTTGTTGTCCTGCAGGTGGATGTGCACGTGACATTCCTTTAGCACCACGTGGGAAATGTCCTGGAAGTCACAGAAGTAGGTCCAGGGTGCTTCCCCAGGGCTCTTAGGCAGCTGCTCTCCAGGCTCAGGGTCCTTGGCTTTCTTCCCAGACGGGCTGCCTTGGGGATTCCCTCTGCTGTTACCTCTCTCAGATTCCTAAAAAACAAGCCAGGGGGTGGGGAGGGGGCCAGGGGACAGAGCAGGGCATGGATAGTTTAATGTCCCCTCAAAGGACAGAAAGAAACTGGGCTCAAACTTCTAACTCCAAAAGTCAGAAAGCTGCAGGAAGATCAACACGAGTTCCAGGCCAGCCTGGGCTACACAGCTAAGTTCTGGGTCAGCTGTAATTATAGTACAGACTAGGACACTAACACAAAAAATAAAAATAAGCTGAGCAGTGGTGGTGCACACCTTTACTCCCAGCACTTAGGAGGCAGAGGTAGGCAGATCTCTATGAGTTCAAGGCCAGCCTGGTCTACAGAGCAAGTTCCAGGACAGCCAGTGCTACACAGAGAAACCTTGTCTCAAAAAAATAAAATAAAATAAAAAATAAAAAGAACCCTCAGCCAGGTGGTGGCGGCGGCGGCGGTGCACACCTTTAATCCTAGCATTTGGGAGGCAGAGGCAAGTGGATCTCTGTGAGTTCAAGGCCAGCCTGGTCCAGAAAGTGAGTTCCAGGATAGCCAGGGATATACAGAGAAACCTCTTTCATAAATAAATAAATAAATAAATAAATAAATAAACAAACAAACAAACAAACAAACAAACAAACAAATAAAAAAAATAAAAAAACCCTCAAGGGCCAGGGAGACGGCTCCACAGCTAATGGTGCTTGCCCGATGATCTCAGCTCTAGAGCCCACATGGAGGAAGGAGAGACACCACTTCCCCAAGTTGTTGAGCACATGCACATGATCAGACTCCCAGCACTTAGGAGGCAGAGGCAGGCAGAGGATCTCCACATGCACACCCGAGCACACCCCTGCCCATCTCCCACAAAAAAAATGGAAGGGTAAAAAAATCAAAGGAAGGACATAAACAGGACAAGCCTCCAAAGCCAGGTGAGGACAGGGCTCACTTGAGCCACCCTGAGGAGCCCACAGCTAAGGTGAGTGCTCACCTGTATCTGCAGTGGATGCCACTGGATACCTCCGGTGCCTGTCACCAGTACCTCGTGGGTGGGAAGCCTGGTGGCCAGCTCTGGGCCTGGGTCCCCAGTACTTTGCCCACTGTTCTGGATGTAGCAGGGGTCCCTCTCAGGCTGGTCCAGTACCTCCAGATGACACACCGGAATGTGCTCTGAGCCAAATCGAGGAGCCAGCCGCTCCAAGGTGGCCAAGTACTTAACCATCACAACCTGCTGGGAGAGGTGGCCAGGCTGAAAGGCCCGCAGGAATCGCTGGAAGACTCTGCGGAGACGCAGGCGCGTGAGTGCATTGTGCTGACGGATGTGCTGGCGGAAGGAGCGAGGGATGCAGTTCTTAAAGCTGTAAAGAGGACACGGAGACATGTCAGAGCCTGTGCAGCCAGACAGGCTGAGTGACATGGGGTTAGTGGCTTACCCTCTCTGCTGCCTAATGTAGACAACAAGGCTTATGTCATGAATGTGGAAATAAAGAACTCAATTCACATTACTGTGGCTTCTGCCCTTAATCCCAACACTATACAGTGAAATTCTGTCTCAAAAATGTTTATTTTATTTTTATTCCTTGTGTGTGTGTGTCCCCACAATGGTCAAAAGAGAGAGTCAGATTCCTTGGAACTGGAGTTACAGGTGGTTGTGAGCCACCACGTGGGTGTTGGGAACTGAACTTAGGTCCCCTATAAGAGCAGCCAGTGCTCATGAGCACTCAGCCATTTTTCCAGCCCCTTACCTTACTTTTTATATTACATAATTTACCCCAGGCTGGCTTGGAACTCACTGCACAGCCCAGACTGACCTCAAACTTGAAGTAATCTTCCTGGTTCTACCTCTTGGGTCCAAAAATTACAGGTGCATGCCACCACATCTGGTTCTAATTTTTTAAATTTATTTATTTGTATTTTATGTACATTGGTGTTTTGTTTGCATATGTCTGCATGAGTTGCAGACAATTGTGAGCTGCCATGTGGGTGCTGGGAATTGAACCCAGGTCCTCTAGAAGAACAGAAAGTGCCCCTAACCTCTGAGCTCTTTCTCCAGCCCCTAGCCCTAATTTTTTGTCTTATGTTTTAGGACAGGGTCTCATGTAGACTGTTGTGGGATAATGCTTTTGTACACTGGTTTAATAAAACATTGATTGGCCAGTAGCCAGGCAGGAAGTATAGGTGGGATAAGCAGACAAGAATTCTGGGAAGAGGAAAGCTGAGTCAGGAGACGCCAGCCCACTGTCCAGAGAGCAGCATGTAATGGCACACAGGTAAAACCACAGAACACGTGGCGACACATAGATCAACAGAAATGGGCTGAGTTTAAGTGCAAGAGCTACTCAGTAGTAAGCCTGCGCTAATGGCTGAACAGTTTTAATTAATATAAGCCTCTGTGTGTTTACTTGTGTTAGGACTCTGCCCTTACTCCAGCTGTGTGACCACACATGTGCAGCTCAGGAGTTAAGAAAAGGTCTTGCATCTTAGGTCATCAGCGTGCCCTGGCGACTACATATGCGCCTTTAAAAGCCAGACGCAGACCCCATCCTCTCTCTGCTCTCTCTGTGCTCTTGCTCTGCTCTGCCCCCCCCCCCCATCTTTCTCTCTCTCCAGGCCTGGCTCGCCCCCCCCCCTCCTAATAAAGCTCTGAAAACTAACACTGGGCTCTGCTGTGACTGTCACCTTTCCACGAGGTAACCAGTGCCACTCGCAACAACCAGCGCCGCCACCAGCGCCGTTGACCGTCCTTTCAACTTGGGGGATGCCAGTGGGAGAGATTTGACACTGAAAAACTTCCAACTACAGTAGCCCAGACTTGCCTTGAACTCTTGTGTTGCTAACCTTGAACTCCTGATCCTCCTGCCTCTACCTCCATGTGTTCATCAACCAGACCAACTACTATTAGCTAATTTTTTGGAGGAGACTAGTTCTTACACTGTAGCCCAGGCTAGTCTAGAACTTTCAATTTTCCTGTCTCAGCACACTGGTAGCTGTGACTACAGGTCCTTGCCACATGCCTGGCCAGAGACAGACCCTGAGCTTCCAGAAACTGCCTAGGACTTGATATTTGAGCCCTCTAGTGCCTTCCAGTAGTCTATATCCTGCACTCCAGGGAACCCCACTCTGTAGGCTTGGATTTTATAGGGTTTTCTCTTTTTCATATGTGCACGTGTGGGGGAATCCACAAAAAGCGGGTCACAGACTCCTCACCCTCTTCTTCCTCCTCCCTCTCCTTGCATGACCATTTCCACAGGCCTAAGCACATCTTCCCTTAATAAACTCTTACGGTGGGCTTCGTTGTACCTCATGGCTTTTCTCGCATGGTAAACAGCGCCACTTAATAACTAACCCTGAATCCACCTTTCTTCTCAACTTTTCTACATTTCATGTTTGTGTTTCTTTTTTTTTCATTAAGATTCTATATTATTATTATTATTTTATGTACATGCTGTGTGTGTGTGTGTGCATGCATGCGTGCACGCCAGTGAAAGCCAAAGCAGGTTTTGGAGCCCCTGGGGCTGGAGTCTGGGACAGCTGTGAGTTGCCAGATGGACGTGCTGGCAGCTGAACTCAGGTCCTCTGCAGTCAGGTCCTCTGCAGTCATCTCAGCCCCAGCGTTTGCATTTCCTTTAGTACCCAATCTGCTTTACAAGAGCTCCAGAGGTGGTACTGTGCTCCCAATACTCAGAGCTAGTGTGAGTACACAGTAGGTGATCAATAAGCGTGCTGGATAAATGAGGGCAACATGAAAGGTCCACCCTGGGTCCCCGGGTGTGGGGACTTCACCCGCTTACTCCTAGTCCCCACTCCATTTCCCCGCACCTGATCTCTCTGGCCATCTCCTCCAGGGGGACACCACGGCAGAGAGCGAGGTGGCAGAGGTGCAGAAAGGCCATGCCCAGGCTCTCGTTCTTAAAGTGGTGGATCTCTTCCTCACTAGACAGGTCCCGCAGAGACACCACATCGTTCATGAACTCATGTTTTCCCTGAGGGGTAGAGGGATAAACAGAGAAGGTGTGGGGATGTTTTTGCTTTATTGCCAACAAACTCTAATTCTCTACTTCTAGGCACTTGTGGGGGAGGGAGAGATAAGAATGTTCCTAGGAAGATCAAATACACATCACATACACCACCTCCTCACAATCTTGAGACCACGGCAGACATTGCTAATCAAATATAGCACTCATTCACCCCAAATTCCTTTGGTAAAGACAGCTAAAAGACCCCAGCTAGTATGAGCAGAAATGTATTAGCTGAAGTGGAGTGGGAAGTGGAAGGGAATCCTTAACTGTTCCTATGTTTCCCCCAAATAATCTAGACTTTCCATCTCTGCTCATACCTGCTCAAAGAGGTATTCAAATGAGGCAGAGTCCAAGAGCTGCACACCCTGCTCTGCACCTTCTGAGGAAGTCTCTGTCCCTGGGAAACCACATCGGTATACAGCTGGTTCCTGGGGATTCATGCCATGCCAGTTCCGGAAGTAAAACCTGCAAGAAGGGAACGGATAAGCAGAGCCAGGGAGGAGGCTCAGCGGGAAAGGGTACCTGCCAAGCCTGAGGACCTGTGTTTGATCTGAGAGACCATGGCATAGTGGATATATTGAATTTCCCTCCACACATGGATACAAGCACGCGCGCGCGCACACACACACACACACACACACACACTCCTTCCAAGAGGCCTTCACTCACCTCATTCGGAAATATAGCCTTAGGTTCACATCTCGGGATGTATCTAGGATGTGGTTTGGGGGCAGCCAGACCTTGGCCTGCGCATCATAGAGGGCAAAGAGATTCAAGCAGGGTGGAGTGATACCTAAGACATGGGAGGGATGAAGTCAGGAGCCTTCATCTGCAGACCTTAGCTCTGAGGATCCTGCAACCCACTGCCTCCTTTCACATACCCTTCCCAGGCCCCCTCCTGTCTATAAGCTGTCAAAAACTGATACATACACAAGGCAGTTCAGTATTTTCACCATCCCAAGATCCCAAGCTTCCCAGAACTACATTTCCCAGATTCCTTTGCAGCTAGGACAGAACCATTGGACTAAATGGCACATGTGATCCCAGAACTCTGGAGGCTAAGGCAGAACAAGGTCATTATCTGCTACACATAAGTTGGAGGCCAGCCTGAGCTACATGAAACCCTGTCTCAAAAACAAAACAAAACAGGCTGAGCATGGTGGCACATCCCAGCACTCAGAAGGCAGAGGCAGGTAGATCTCTGAGTTCCAGACCAGCCTGGTCTACGAAGTGAGTTTTACGACAGCCAGGGCTACACTGAGCAACCCTGTCTCAACATACAAATAAACAACAGCCAGGCGGTGGTGGCGCACGCCTTTAACCCCAGCACTCGGGAGGCAGAGTCAGATGGATCTCTGTGAGTTTGAGGCCAGCCTGGTCTCCAGGACAGGCACCAAAACTACACAGAGAAACCCTGTCTCGAAAAACCAAAACCAAACAAACAAAAAACCCAACAAAACCAAAGGTCTCAACCTGTCAGATAAACACAAATTGCTCTCCAAAGTTACTACAAGTAGCTTCACTACAGGCTTGATAAAATAAGGCACCTTGCTGCGAAACAGCTTTCTAATATGCCAACCCTCTGCTCTCTGGCTTAAGTCTTCCATGGCTCCCTATTACTGCCCACTGAGCAGTCCCAACCCTTCAGTACTGAGTCGCTAGGACCTGGCTTCTGCCTCTGATGCTTGATTTTAATTTCTCTGATTTGAGACAGGCCTCACAGAGCCCAGGCCTTGGACTTCTTTCTCTGCTTCCTGCCTCCACTTCCCAGAGTACTGGGATGATAGTTTTGCACCATGGAGCCTGGTTCAGGGTGCTGGGGATGGAAGCTGCGGTTCCGTGTGTGCTGGGTAAGTGTTCAAGCAGCTGAGTGACAAGCTCAGCCCCGAGTTCCAACTTGTACTTCCTTTTCCCAGTTCTCAGAACCCGCACCCCAGTCAGCCTGAAGGTCTTTTGGTCCCTCGAACAGGGCTATCCCCTGGATCTGTGTGGAGGCCATTTTCCCTAGAGAGGTCAGGTCCCATGGCTCACATCACACAACAGAAAGTAGGGCGGTGAGAGACGCCCCAGCCCTGCTGCCACACATTCCGTGACGGTTTGAACATGTCCTAACACTCACACGTTGAAATCTTAATCATCACAAGTAATGTGTTCATGGAATTTAAGGGCAGAACTTCTGACATGTGATTAGGACTAAAAAAGGTTATGGAGGTGGGGCCTAATGACAGCATTAGTGACTTTTTTTGGGGGGTACAGAGGATAGAAATTAGAACTTTGCACAAACTGATCCACCCCCTAACTCCTCACTGGGGGATTCTGGGAAGGGGCTACAACACTGGGTCACATGCCAGCCCCTCACTGGGGGGTTCTTTTTTTAAGATTTATTTATTTTATGTACATTGGTGTTTCACCTGCATGTATGAGGTCTGTGTGAAGGTACCAGATTGCCTGGAACTAGAGTTACGGACAGTTGTGAGCTGCCATGTGGGTGCTGGGAATTGAACCCAGACTCTCTGAGAGAGCAGCCAGTGCTCTGAACCACTGAGCTGGGGATTTCTAGGCAGGAGCTCTACCTCTGTGCCTCAGACTTATTTTATGAGACAGGGTCTTCTTGTGTAGTTAGTTTGGCCTGGATCTTGTGATCCTCCTGCCTCAGCTTCCCAAGTTCTGGGATCACAGACAGCCCTGGCTCAGCACTCTTTTCCTTCCCTGCCCCTCTAGAATAAGCGCTCCCAATTGGCCCTGGCTTGAGCTGGCACTCAGGACTCATTCCTTTTTGTCCAGTGACTGTGAACCACACCATCAGCCGCTCCCACCCTGAGGCGCTACACTCACCGACTTTATGTGCAATGTGGATGCAGATGTCCTCCGCAGTCAGAGATGCCTGGCTGAAGGTGACCCAGGGCTCGCCGCCCTCCGGCCCAGCCCAGTGCAGCAGCACCATCAAGCTGCCTGTGGGCACCAGGGGCTGAGCTTTTCTGCCATTGGCCGAGCTGTCTTCCGAGGTGGCTCTCCGCCGACACAGAGGCATGTTCGTTACCATTCACTGTGGGTTAAGGACAGACTGTCAGTTCTGGGCCCAGAGGCCTCTTAGCTCCTCAGCCTTCCAATCACCCAGGCTCAAGTCCAAAGAAAGAGTTGGGTCTTGCCTTCCTTCAACCTCAGTTTATACACTTGTTGAACCGCTGGTTTTAGTGACAGCAAAGCCATCCTATATTTTTGTTTCATTTTGTTTATTTAGACAGTCTCATGTAGCCCAGGCTTGCCTCCAACTCACTACTGTACTTTTTCTTAAAGATTTGTACGTGTGTGTGTGTGTGTGTGTGTGTGCCCACCCACATGTGTGTGTGCCCACAGAAGACATAACTCCCACGGAACTGGAGTTACAGGCAGCCATGAGTCACTTGACATGGGTGCTGGGAACTGAACTCTAGTTCTCTGGAAGAGTAGCAAGTACTCATCCTCTGACTCTGAACCATCTAACTAGGCTGTGTTTGTTTTCTTTTTTAAAAACAATTCTCGCTTGGGAAACAGAGGCCGGTGGATCTCTGAGTTCAAGACCATCTGGTCTACAAGGTGAGTTCCAGGACAGCCAGGGCTACACAGAGAAACCCTGTCTCAAAACAAACAAACAAACAAACAAACCCAATTCTCAGACAGCCCAGACTGGCCTCAAACTTACCATGTAGCCCAGGATGGTCTTGAAGCTCTGATCCTGATGTTTTAATCTCAAATGCTAGGATTACAGGTGTGCAACTGTTTCTTTGACTTTTTAATGCCTTTTTCTTTTTTTTGAGAGAGGGTCTCACTGTATAACCTGGTGCTGTCCTGGAACTCACTATGTATAACAGGCTGGCCTTGAACTCACAGAGATCTACTTACTTCTGCCTCCAGAGTACTGATATTAAAGATGTAGCCGGGCGGTGGTGGCGCACGCCTTTAATCCCAGCACTCGGGAGGCAGAGACAGGCAGATCTCTGTGAGTTCGAGGCCAGCCTGGGCTACCAAGTGAGTTCTAGGAAAGGCGCAAAGCTACACAGAGAAACCCTGTCTCGAAAAACAAAACAAAACAAAAAAAAAAAGATGTATGTCAGCCCAGAATGTTGGAGCACGCCATAAATCCCAGCACTTGGGAGACAGAGGCAGACAGATCTCTGTGAGCTTAAAGCTAGCCTGGTCTACAGAGATAGCTCCAAGACAGCCAGGGCTACACAGAGAAACCCTGTCTCTAAAAACCAAAAATGAATGAATGAATAAATAAATAATAAAAAAAAATAAAGGTGTGTGTCACCTACCACCCAGAAGTCTTATTTAGTCTGAAACAAGATCTCAATATGCTTTTTCCAGACTGGTTTTCAATACCTACATTCAGGCAATCCACCTGCCTCAGCCTTCCAAGAAACTGGGACTACAGACGTACAGTAGTGCCAGCAGACTGAACCCGCCTGTCTGGTTTTTTTGGGAGGGCAATGAGGGTCACAAGCTCCATCTACCTAGCTCCTGCCGGCCTTGTGCTCCAAACCCTCCTGCCTACTAGAACTGTAAACACAAGTCGCCACACCCTGCTTTCTCCTCAATAAACAATCTTACAACAGTCTGAACAGCCACCCTGAGGTCCACGTTGAGGAGAACCCTCGCCTGCTATCCCCACACTTCAAAGGGAGACAGGAGGATCAGGAGTTCAAGGCTATCCTCAGATACCTAGGGTGGTAGAGACCAGCCAGGGATACATAAGATCCTGTCTTAAAAAAATAAGGGCCTGGGAGATGGCTCAGTGGGCAAAGGCACTTACCTGAGCTCTGTTGCTGGTACCCACATGATAGAAGGGAAAAAACTGACCCCCAAAAGTTGTCCTCTGAGCTACACATGTGTTCCACATATCCTTATAAAAATAGCATAATGGGACTGGAGAGACGGCTCAGTGGTTGAGAGCACTGGCTGCTCATCCAGAGGACCCAGGTTCAATTCCCAGCACCCACACATGGCAGCCCACAACTGTCTGTGACTCTAGTTCCAAGGGATCTGATACCCTCACACAAACACACATGCAGGCAAAATATCAATGCACATAAAATAAAAATATTTAAAAAAAAAAACACCCTAACAACACTAAATAAAATAAAATAAATTTAAGCCAAGCATGGAGGTGAATGTTATTAACCCCAGAACTCTGTTTGAAGCCAGCTTGCTCTAAGTAGTTCCAAGCTAGCCAGGGTTACACAGTGAGATTCTCTCTCAATCAATTAGTCAATCAACCAACCAATCAGTTTCTGCTCTGAACAAAGCTCCCACAAGGCAGACAGGCTTGATGCAACAGACCTGGTGGTGTGTCCTGGAGCTTTCTGTGTGACCTCAGGCAATGCACTCAACCTCTCTGGTCCTCCATTTCCCCGAGGGAATCAGAGACGCTGAGACCGTTGCTACGGAAAGATGTTCCAACCTGGTTCTGCATGGTACTGGGTGAGCAGGAACCCGAACTAGGCAGGAAAAACAACAACCAAATATGACCCAAGGAGAATCCACTGGGGTGGAGGTGAGAGCAGAGCAGCGTGTGTCCTGCACGCACTGGGCTCCAGGCTTCATCCCAGGACCACCAAAAAAGCAATACTTCATTGTGGGGCCAGCGAGATGGCTCGGCAGGTAAAGGAGCTTGTGGCCAAACTTGAAAACCCAGGTCCAATCCCTTCACATCGTGAAGAGAACCAACTGCTCTGTTGTCCTCTGACCTCCATGTGCACATACATACGTGCACACACAAACACAGTAAAGACATGTAACCTAATTAAATCATAATGAGCTTCACCATCATGATTTTCCTTTCCATGCCCGAGATCCACCCCAACAGGTGACCAGGGCTGCTCAGACTCCCCTTGCGGGGATACTCACCTTGGCTGCCACATTTCAGGGACAAGATTCCACAATTAAAAAAAAAAAAATTCTGGCCTGGCGGTGGTGGCGCACACCTTTAATCCCAGCACTTGGGAGGCAGAAGCAGGTGGATCTCTGTAAGTTCGAGGCCAGCCTGGTCTACAGGGCGAGTTCTACAACAGGATCCAAAGCTACACAGAGAAACCCTGTCTCGAAAAACAAAAAACAAAACAAAAAAAAATTCTGTGAGTATGGTGCATGTTTGTGTGCATGGTGTGTGCATGTGTGTACAGGCATGTATGTACATAGTATATGTAAGTGTGCATGGTATGCACGGTATATGCATGTGTGTGTGTGCATGGTGTATATGTGTGTACATACTGTATGCACGTGTGTGCTGGCATATGCGTATCTGGCATATGCATGTATGTACATGAAGCATAAGTGTGCATTGATAGTGTATGGATATGTGCAGGCATATGAGTATGTGAGTGTGTGTAGGCATATATGTGCATGGTATATGCATGTGCATACATGCATAATGTATGCATGTGTGTGCACCTAAGTGGGAAAGCCTGTTCCCTGTGCGCACATACGGAGGCCAGAAGTGCACATCAGACCCTTCCTCTATTACTTTCCACCTGTTAGTTTAAATGTGTGTCAATGTTTTGCATGTATGTCTGTGCTGTACCTCATGCGTGCCTGGTACTGATGGAGGCCAGAAGAGGGTGTCAGGTTCCCTGGAACTGGAGTCATATATATGGTTGTGAGCGGCCACGTGGGTGCTGGGAACCAAATCTGGGTCTTCTGGAAGACCAGCCAGTGCTCTTAGCCCTGAGGCATCTCTCCTGAGACAGTCTTACTGAACCTAGGGTCACTGTTTTGGCTGGGCTGCCCTGGGAGCCCCTAGGGCCATCCTGTCTCCATCCCCTAGTGCTGGGGTGACCTGTGGCTGCTGCCACGCTCCACTTTATGTGAGTGCTGGGACTCAAACTCGGTCCTTATGCTTGCAGGCACTTTACCAACTGAGGCATATCCATTCATCCTTTATTTTATTTTATATTGGTCTAACCGTGTAGTCCAGGCTATCTTGGAACTCACACTGTCCTCCAACTCATGGTGATCCTTCTGCCTCAGTCTTCTAAGTACAGGAATGATGCACTATATTCAGCATTTTACATATATGTGTGTGTATGTATATGCATATATATATAATGTATACTTATTTTTTTTCTTTTGAGGCAGCGTTTTACTATATAGCCTAGGCTACCCTAGAGCTCACAGAAATCCCCCTGCCTCTGCCTCCCGAGTGCTGAGATCACTCAGCCTTGAGCCCACCAGCCTTCATGTTTATGTTACCGTAAGAGCACCGAAAGTCAGATCTGCTGGAACTTGTCTCCCCTCTGGGCCAGTTCCCTCAAGTGAGCAGGTACCAGTGGTTACTTCAAAGACTCGATGGGCAAGTGTCTGGCACACAGTAAGCGTTTAATAGATGTTGACCATAATCTATTCATGCTCAAGACGCCATCCTGGGAACATGGGGCCTTTAGAACTCACTTCCTCTTTCCCAGATCCCGAAGATCCCTGCCCAGCTTTGAAGACGAAATCTGTGGTCTCTATTTGCAGAGGCTGCATCTCTCCCCACCCACCGCCCGAAAACCTGCCGACCCATCTGGACCAGGCAGTAGCTGCACTGTGCACGCTCCAGGCAACCGAACAGTGCGGAGACAGCGGGTGCTCCGGGTCCAACTCCGGGGAAGGGGTAGTGCCCCGCCTCCTCCCTGCCGCCGCCCAGGGGCGCCCCTGCACTCACCGTTCAGGGTACTCAGGCTTAGACCCTGGACCCCGCCCCACTGCCGCGGAGAGCCGGGCAAGTCCACGGCCGACGCGCCGCTGGCCATTGGCCGCCTGCAGCGCGCATGCCCCCTGCCGCAGCCCGGCCCACCCGCCTACGACCCTACGCTCCTATTGGTCATCGTACAGGAAGGGCGTCGCTCCGAGCGGTGTGGAGGAGGAACGTCTTAGCCGTGATTTGTTGAAGCGGCAAGCGGAACCGCTGAGGCCTCTGCGATTGGGCGTGCGAGATGGGGGCGGAAACGTAGACCAGGGCTCGCGGAAGAGTGAGGTCTGTGGGCAAAGGACCTGGAACCTGCATTGCCCGAGCTTCTGCAGGCACACTTCTGGGCTTGGAGACTGCAGTCACCCAGACTTGAGGCTCCCCGGTGTTGTCCCTTCCCATCCAACCTCTCCCACCACCACCCCTTTTTAAGCACGGGTCGCATGTAGCCCAAGCTTCGCCCACACAAGCCTCCTTTAACAGTATTTGGTGAAAAGACTTAGGCTGTAGCTCAGTTGGTAGTGTTTGCCAGTATGCATGAAGTTCTGGGCTCCATCCACAGCACCATCGTAAGCATTAGAGTGGTAGAGGAAGGCTCAGAGATCCAACATCTTGATGGTAGGTTGAGAACAATTTAGGCAATAGACCCAGTTTTTGATTTGTCGAGACAGGGTTTCTCTGTGTAGCCCTGGCTATCCTCAAACTTAGATTTGCCTGCCTCTGCCTCCAGAGTGCGATTAAAGGTGTGCACCACCACCACCCAGCTGGAGACCCAGGTTTAAAACAAAAAGTGACAAAAAGCCCTCAACACTCTTCTCCATGAGACCCCAACTTTGACGCTGGTCCTGTCCTTGGTCTGTCGAGTTCCATATTAGCCAAGAATCCTATTAATCACACCCCAACCCTTGATCTCTGGCCAAGTCCCCTCACTTCCGATGTGTGCCTTTGTCCTTCCCTGTAGCAAGGTCTGGAAGGATGGCTCAGCGGCTAAGAGCACTTACTACTTTTCCAGGTGACCCAGGTTCAGTATTCACCACCCACATAGCAGCTCACAAACATCCATAATTCAAGTCCAGGGGATCCAACCCCCTCTTCTGACATCTGCTGGCACCAAGCACACACGTGGTGCACAGACATGTATGCAGACAAAACACTCTCGTATTAACTTTTATTTACAAAAGCAACAACAAAAACTGGCATGGTAGCACATGCCTTTATTCCTAGTACTTGGAAGCAGGAATGGGTGGATCTCTTTGAGTTCAAGGCCAGTTTGGAGAGAACAAAAAAACCAAAACCAAAACAAAACAAAAGCCGGGCAGTGGTGGCTCATGCCTTTAATCCCAGCACTCGGGAGGCAGAGGCAGGCAGATCTCTGTGAGTTAGAGGCCAGCCTGGGCTACCGAGTGAGTTCCAGTAAAGGCACAAAGCTACACAGAGAAACCCTGTCTCGAAAACCAAAAAAAAAAAAAAAAAAAAAAAAAAATCAAGGACAGTTTGGGCAACACAGCAAGGTCAGGTCAGCCTGGGCTACCCGTGAGACCCTGTTGGGGGTGGGCGGTGGGGAGAGAGGGGGAGGGGGGAGAGAGAGAGAGAGAGAGAGAGAGAGAGAGAGAGAGAGAGAGAGAGAGAGAGAGAGAGAGAGAGAGAAGCAGACAGACAGATTCTAATATGGACCAGAGAGTTAGCTCATCAGGTAAAGGCATTTGCTGCCAAGCCTGAAGACCTGAGTTAAGGCCCCAGGTTCCACATAGGGGAAGGAGAGAACTGACTGACTCTTGCAAGTTGTCATCTGACACCACATTCTGACTTCTCACACACACACACACACACACACACACACACACACACACACACACACAGAGAGAGAGAGAGAGAGAGAGAGAGAGATTGAGATTGAGATTATGTAAAGAAATAGGAGCGAATACTCAGGAAGCTACATGAGACCTTTTTTTAAATGTCTGAGTGTTTTTATCTGCATGCATGTAAATGTACTGTGTGACCTCAGAGGCTAGAAGAGGACTTCTGATCCTCTGGAACTGGAGTAACAGGTAGTTGTGTCTTAGTTAGGGTTTCTATTGCTATGAAGAGACACCATGATCATGGCACCTCTTATAAAGGAAAACATTTAATTGGGGCATGCTTACATTTTCAGAGGTTTAGTCCACTATTGCCATGGTGTGACATGGTGGTGTGCAGGCAGACATGGTGCGAGAAGGCGCTGAGAGTCGTACATCTTGATCAGTAGGCAACAGGAAGTGAACTGTGTCCCAGATGGGACATAGCTTGAGCATATAAGACCTCAAAGCCTGCACCCATGAGGACACACGTCCTCCAGCAAGGCCACACCTCCTAATAGTGCCACTCCCTATGGACATTCAAACACTCGAGTCTAATGGGGGCCACACCCATTCAAACCGCCACAGCCACCATGTGGGTGCTGGGAATCTAACCCTGGTCCTCTTTGAGAGCAACCAGTGCTGTTAATTGCTGGGCCATCACTACAGCCTATTTCTTTTTCTTTCTTTTTTTAAAATTATACACCAAATTTTTTTAAATGTATTTGCTTTTATTTTATGTACATTGGTATTTTGCCTGCAGGTCAGATCTTTGAGTTACAGACAGTGGTTAGCTGCTATGTGGGTGCTGGGATTTGAACCCAGGTCCTTTGAGAGAGCAGTCAGTGCCCTTAAGCACTGAGCCATCTTTCCAGTCCCCTTTTCTTCTTTTTGTTTGTTTTGTTTTAGGTTTTGGTTTTTTGAGACAGGGTTTCTCTGTGTAGTCCTGCCTGGTCTGGAACTCATTCTGCAGACCAGGCTGGCCTCGAACTCAGAGATCCACACCTTCCTCTGCCTCCCAAGTGTGAGGTGATATTGTGTCCCCCAATATATTGTGCACCTTAATAAACTTATCTGGGGTCAGAGAACAGAACAGTCACTAGACAGACATAGAGGCCAGAAAATGGTGGCGCACACCTTTAATCCTAGCATTTCGAAGACAGAGATCTGATCTGAGTTCAAAGCCACACTGGAAACAGCCAGGCATGGTGACACACGCCTTTAATCCCAGGAAGTGATGGCAGGAAGCAGAAAGGTATATAAGGGGTGAAAACTAGAAACTAGAATCTCTTTAAGCTTTCAGGCTTTTGAGCAGCAGTTCAGCTGAGATCCATTTGGATGAGGACTCAGAGGCTTTCAGTCTGAGGAAATAAGACCAGCTGAGGATTTAGTGAGGGGAGGTTCGCTGTGGCTGGTTCTGTCTCTCTGATTGATCTTCCAGCATTCACCCCAATACCTGGCCCTGGGTTTGCTTTTATTAATAAGACCTTTTAAGATTCATGTTACACGAGTGCTGGGATTAAACGCATGCACCACCACAGCCCTGCCTACTCTAGCTGTTTTACAAACACCTGTTGGCTGCTTTTTCTATAATATGGATTTCAACGTGTATTACAAACAATGATTATATATAAGCTTCAGAGAGTCAAGAAAGCCTTAAGACTTGGGTCCACCTCTCACAGAGCAAATGGACTCCAGGTAAGTTCTCCTGCCAATCAATAGCCTAAGTTTCTACATCTATTGCCTATCCCCAAGAGGGAAGCTGTAAATGTAGTTTCCTTTAAGTTCTTAATTTCTGTCCCTGGTCTGTATGCTTTGGCAGAGTTCCCCTTGGCTGGTGGATACCATCCAGAGATCAGCCACAGACTGCAAACTGCTCCAGAGATGAACCCTGGACTTGATGAAAGCTGATGTGAACCAGTCCAGCTGATGTGACTGCTCCTTGTCTCTTCAGCTGGGTCAGGGAACCAGATGGTTCTGATGAATGCCCCATTGTCCTATTCCCCTCCGAGCCTTTGACTAGGATTCCAGCCTTCCTAGGCCCTGACAATAGTGACCTAATTTCAGCAGGAAGTAGTTACTGAGAACAATACATCACCCCTCCTCCTCAACAAAGGGCTGGAAGGTTAGATCCAAAGGAAACACCCTGGAAATGGGGACAAAATGACTACCTATAATACCTATTGGCAAACCAAGATTATATGGCCCTAAAAATCTGTTCTTTCGGCCAGGCAGTGGTGGTGGTGGTGGCGGTGGCTCATGCCTTTAATCCCAGCACTCGGAAGGCAGAGGCTGGCAGATCTTTGTGAGTTCGAGGCCAGCCTTGTCTACAGAGCGAGATATCCAGGAAAGGCACAAAGCTATACAGAGAAACCCTGTCTCGAAAAACAAAAAAAACAATTGTTCTTTCTATGCTGATAATTTATAGACAGGCCATGCATCTTTTGGTGCATTGCAAATGATGTCACCCCTCCACCATAAAGAATGCTAAGACTTGGAGCTGGAGAGATGGCTCAGGCGTCAGGAGCACTGGTTACTCTTCCAGAGGACCTGGATTCAACTCCCAGCACCCACCTGGCAGCTCACAACTGTCTGTAACTCCAGTCTCAGGAGATCTGACACCTTCACACCAATGCACATAAAATAAAGTTAAATAAATTATTTAAAAAGAATACTAAGACCCTATCAAAGACAGGGACACATAAGACAAGGGAGAATGATGAACCAGCCTGCATCCATCTTATCAAAGCCATCTTATGGTAAAGACAAACTAGGTTCATTCCTGTGTATGATTAAACCTGTATTTTTCAAGGATGGGCTATGCCCCACCTGTAACCTTAACTACAAATGGTTCTGTACTGCCTGTTCCAGGAATGGCAACCATGTCTTTGTTTCAAAAAGTTATAACCATCTTGCAACCCTGCCTTTGTTTCAAATGGTTGTTATGACTACCTGTCGCTAAGATCACCTTGCAGTCATGTCTGCTTTAGGAGACCGTTATTACTGACTTATGCTTATGTTCTGCTCCTGTAACCCCACCTATTTTGCCTGCCAGATCCCCCATTTGGAAACCCCCTACCCTGAGCTATAAAAGCTTTGTCCTCATGTTCAAAGTGGACCTCTCGAACCCTGCCTAAGGGGTAGACAGCTTGTGTAAGTGGAAAAAGCCTGATTTAATTAATTGCTTGCTTTAATTAATTTGGCCATGATGATTTGGGCCAATGGTTTTTCTCTCCCATCTTTGGTCTTTGGGATTAACATCTTTAGTTACTTTA